AAAAATCAAAACGGCAAGCGAATATGTAATGTTTTGAGTGTCTGAAAACAAATAACTGACGGCCGCGACCGACCCCCACCCCCGTCGTCGCAGACCGGCATTGCCGTCGCGTTTCCTCTCTCGCGCCTTCCTTCTCTATGCCATCCGCTGGGAATGGTTTAGTAACATGGCTTGACACAACATCCTTGGAGCAGCTGCTGCTCTCTTTCACTCTATTTGTCTATGTCCACACCCGGGGTGAGGGGAAGTAACAATGACGCCAACAAGAATAATAGTAATGAGATTTGAGCGACACAGCATCATTAAGCCTCGTCACTCTTCTCCCATTTGTGTTTTCTTGACACCACGTGCGTTGAAGCCCCGTCCATCCCCAATGTCACCTTGTCTTCCTCGGCGCCAGCGGGTGTGGCGGATGAGCTGAGTCGCGAGGGTGGAAAGTGGCGACGGAGATAGTCGTGTAGGCCACGCTGCAGTGCCGTGAAGTTGTGATACGTCTTTGGGAGCGCCGCCAGGTCTCCGGTGGCAAGCGCCACCTTCTTCTTCGCATTGACCACACTTTCCTCGAATTCATCCTCATCCTGACCGGACCCCTCCTCCTGCTCATGCTTTAACCGCATGGAGCGTTCCACGATGTTGGCCCGTTGCGTTCGCGTGGCCTCCGCCACGTAATTAAGGAACGTCGAGAGAAACATAGAAAGGAAGTAGTCGGCTTGAGACATGTTGGTTCCCCGCAACATGGTCGGTCGCCTCTCGGGGTCCGGTTTTGCGATGAGATCCAGCTTCTTCTCAAAGGACGCGGTAAACCCAATGTCCACAATGGAGGGAAAGGTAGACTTGGCCGTCGAAACCAGCAGCCGCCCAATCGGGGTTGTCTCGCAGCGGCCTTTGGGGCTCACCTCAATGTACCCCCGTGCGAGCAGCGTCTTCACTATCATGGGGTACGTGCTTGGGCGACCCACACCGTTGTTCTTCAGCTCTTCAATGAGTGTGCCCTCCGAGTGCAGCAGCGGTGGCACCGGGCGGTTCTCAGAAACGGTGGGGGAAAGCAACTCAAACTGCCGTGGCTGCCTCGAGGCAGCCAAGGTGCTGCGCAACTGCGCAATAGCCCTGAATTCCTCTTGAGAGAGAGAACGAATAACAGGAGCACCCTCCTTCTCCGTGATGTCCTCATTCTCGTCCTCTACAGCGGCAGTCTTGGTGCTAGTGGCGCTAAGGTTATTCAAAGTGCTACCGCTTGTGGTTGCGGAGGGGGTAGGCTCAGCCGTTGTAGCAGTCTTTTGAAACGCGCGCGTCCACCCAGGCTCCGCAACACGCTTCCCCTCCAGCACGACACGCAGTTTATCGCCACTGCCGCTGGTAAACTTTACAGTGGCGGCAATCTTCTCACTTTTCATGGGAATCATAAAGGACGCCAACGTGTTGCGACGCACAAGGTCGTACACCGCCCTTGTAATCGGGGGGAGTGAAAGCGATTCCCCATCGGCGTGGATGTTCGTTGGACGTATAGCCTCATGCGCGTCCTCCACGTTCCCAACCGGGTGCTCCGCCCGCTTGCTGTGCTTGGCGGACTTCTTCTTTCCTGGCCGCTTAGACTTTTTACCCTCAGGTGCAGCAGCCGCCCGATCCTCAAGGCGGTAGAGCAGCTCCTTGCCAAATTCCTTCTTGATTGTGGCGTAGATGTCATTCAGGGCTCCTGCGTCGATGCGGGTGCTGTCCGTTCGCGGGTAGGTGATGTGGCCAAGCTGAAACAGATCCTGCAAGCAGCTGCTCACCTTCTCACTGCTCATCTTTAGCTGGCGATTTGCCCTCGCAATGGCCGTGGCCATCGTGAACGGCTGTGGCGGGGGCACTTCAGACGGGAGAACGAGCGGCTCGTGAGGGACACCGAAGCCACTGCAGTTGTTTAACTTCCACCTATGCAAACACCGCCTTGCCTCCGCCTCGGTGCCCCAACTTGCGGCTTCCCCCTTTACGTCGGGAGTGATGTTGACTACCTGCGAGAAGGTGGTGCCGTGGGGCCCTGGGAAGTGGCACATGGCCTCCACAAGGTAGGTGGTTTTATTGTTCTCCAGGAACGCCGCAACCCTCTCCTCCCGCTCGTGTATGAGGATGAGAGCAGGAGTCTGCACACGACCGATGGAGCGCATCTGGGAATTGGCGGCCCGCACCACGGAACTTCCTAAAAATCCAAAGATTCGATCCATCGCGTGACGTGTTTCGGCCGCATTCGCCAGATCGTAGTCACACTTATCTATGAGGCGCTCCTGCATTGCTTTGCGAATTCCCTCCTCGGTGATGCTGTGCATGTAGGCACGTGAGTAAGGAACCTTTAGCTTTGGATACAGTCGCTTTATTGTTTGGAGGGTATGCACAGCAATAAGCTCCCCCTCGCGATCTGGATCCGTCGCGAGAATAATCTCGGTGACGTTGTGAAGCTTTTCCTGCAGGTAGCGCTCTAGGGTTTCCTGAATGCGGCGGCCCGGCAGCAGCTGCCACTCGAGCGTGTACTCGGCAAGCGTGCCGTTGGGGGGGAAGGGCTCCTCCCCCGGCGCCGGCGTCTCCGGCGCGGCCCCCGAGAAGGCGAGGGCCCGCGGAGTCCACCGGATCTCCTTCATTGCCATGAAGTGCCCGGTCGTCGCCATCGCCACCGCCTTTTCGGCCCCCACGCCCAGACGCCGCAAGTGATCCTGCTTGAAGGACCAATCCGGGATGACGCTCGCGTCACTCAGCAGCCCCTCAACCTTGATCACCTTGTTCGGCGACTCCACGATGACGAGCTTCTCCAGCGCAGCAACGGTTCGCCGCAGCATAGTTATGGACGTGGCAGGTCTGGCACTCTACAAGAAGCAAAACAGCAACAGCAGCAACAACAACAAAAATGAGGAAAAAGAGAAGAGGCAGTGTGGCATCAATGAAGAAAACACACAACAAAAGCAAAGATCAGCCGCAGGGAGGCATTCACACCCCTTGTACCCAGCCGTCATACTCCCGCCTTTTGTGTTCTCCCGTTGCTCAGAGCGAGGATGCGCACATACGCAAAGGAGGGAAATCACAACACGTGCAACATGAGAGACGTTGTGCACGAAAAGCCATTATTTTTCTTTGCTCTTCTCTTTCGTGTTGTTGTTATTGCTCATTTGCTTGCTTTTGCTACATCTTGCGTCGGAACAGACAGCGCATTTCCACTATGTACATTTCACCGTCGCTCTCCCGTCCCTCCTCTCCGCTCCCCCTCTCAGACGTACGGCAAACGCTCCTTCGTGAGCGTGTAGAGCTCAATAGGAGAGTCTGCATACACAAAGAGTTTAAAATCACCATTCCCCTCGGGGAGTTTTGTGTGGGGGATGAAGAGAAAGGGCAAAGGGTCTGCCACAGGAACACTTGCCACGAGTGCCACCTCACTGTTGCGGGTGTAGGGCGTAGCGGCGATGGGCGTGAGTTCCGTGTTCTGTGTGTTGAGGTCCAGGGCAATCTCCATTCGGTTGTTTGGGTTAATGATGATGGGAGGCAAAAAGGCCTTTTTATTCCCTGCCCGCTTCACAATTGGCTTCTCCGGCCCCCGCGGGTACTGCAGCAGCAGCGCCACAATCTGCGTCTGCCGGAACGTGTTGAGTGCCACGAAGGGGTTGTTGATCCACCCGCCAAACTCCTCCGACCCCCCGCCGGCCGTGTAGCCGAGCTCCCAGCTGCCCTCCGCCACGGCAACCTGCGCCCACTCCCGCACCGGCGCCACGACCACGGCGGAGGCGGAATAAAAGGCCATCGTCACGGCAGCCTCGCGATACGGCATGGAGGCGTACACGGCGAGGATGAGGGTGCATTCGGGCTGCACGTCGATCTCGCAATCGATCACGGTTTCACCAACTTTTTCCTCGGAGCGAGCCACAATGTCGGCTGGGGAGATGACCAGCTTGCGTCGCTGCCCGTTCTCCCACGCGTTGTCGCCGCGCAGGAGCGTCATGCCGACCTCGGTCAGCTTGTCGCCCACGTCGTCATTGCGCAGGACGAGGAAGAGCCGCCCCTGGCCGCCAACGGGGAAGGTCAGGGCAAACTGCGGACTGCTGCGCCACGATGAGAAACGCGGGGAGCCGCCGAAGCTAGCGTCAGCCAACTTGAACGCGGCAGACTTCCTGCCACGGTGCCAGTCCAGTCTGGGCTCTATGCGGCAAAGCCGCAGCGAACGATTGGCGATGGCGTCCATCCAGAACTTACCTCCGGCGGTGGCCTCCGTGCAGAAGGGCACAATAATGTACGGCATTCCCCTCCGCTCCTTCATTCCGAGTAGCCGCATTGTCGCTTCCACAGACGCAGATGGTGCTGCCTGCACCCGCAACTCCACCGTCGCGGGGTCGTACTCCAGGTAGCTGCGACACTTCGTCGCACGGTGCACGGTGAAGCCAATAGGCTTGGGTAGTTCGCCCACCGCCACTTCCTGACGCAGAACCAACGAGACGTCCGTGGATTCGCTTGGAAAGACAAAGTACTGTGGACAGTCTCTCCAGAACGACGACGCGGGTGAGCCGACGGGGTACTCCAGCGGCCACTCCCCACTTACTGTCGTCTTCACATCCCGCTCAATCGGAGCCAACGCCACCTCGCAGCTATCGGACCATGCGGAGAGGAGAAAGGGGACACTGGCCGCCGTTGGCTCCTCCCTAAACGCAATCAGCGTCAACCGTTCCTTGCCCTTGACATTTTCCATGTCAACCGTCAGGGGGCACATGAGATCTCGGCCTTTACACGGCTCTAAATACTTCACCACATCTGCGTCTGCCACCTCCTTGAGCCACACGGTGTTGTCTGCCGTCGCCACAACCGCCAAGCCGACTGCCGCGCGGTACGTCGCCAGGGCCCCTTTTTTCCGTATGACCCGGGCCCGGGCGTCCGGCTGGTGGAGCCCCAGCGTAATCTGCACCCGCTTCACGTCCGGCGGGAAATCCCCAAGCCGCAGCGTAAACTGGGCCCCTTCCAGCAATCGGCTGCCGCCGCCGCCGTCTTTGGGGCAGTCGGAGAAATTCGCCGACACCCACGAGGTGTGCGGCACCCCCGCTGTCATAATGAGGTCGGTGAAGTAAAAAAACGTCTCATCCAAACTCAACCAAAACGTCTCCTTATCTGCCTCATCAAACTGAAGCAGCTCGCGAAGGACCGGGGTCCACCTTGGGCTCCTCGCTCGCCACTTGCCGCCCCAATTAATCTCCGTCTCCTGCCCCCAGTGGCGAAGCTTCACCAGCCGCTGCCCTTCTACGAAGCGTGCATCCAGTACAGGGTACAGGTGGTCACCCAAAATGCCCAAACTGATCCGCTCAGCCGCTTCCGCGGTGTCGCTACGCAACAAAAAGGTAAAAAGAACGTCCTGCTGAATGGCGTTCTTCAGCTTCGCCCAGAGAATGTTTTGCTGCTCCACCGTCAACTCCACTGAGCACCGCAGGGGGAAATGCACTGGGGCGCAGCCTGAGAGATCCATCAGGCCATGACACATCACCTCGACGGTGCGCAATTCCGGGGTGACCCTTCGTTCGAGTGCCTCGTAGCAGCGGTGGAGCTTCGCGTAGGCCTTCTCCAAAAGGGGAAAGAAAAAATCCGACTTGTCGCTTGATGGACGTCCCATGCACAGCTCCATGGTGTTGTCGCATGGAAGGTAATCGTCAATGCCCACCACCGTCCACTGGCCACTCTTGAAGAAGCGGAACTGAACCAACCCCTCCGCGGCGTCGTAGCTGACACTCAGAGTCTGCAACCACCTCGGCTTTGTCGCAATCGCGTGTGTGACGGAGGCAAACCACTCTCGTCGCGAGAAGGGAAAGGGACAGTCACATCTCCAGTCCTTAAGAAAAGTGACGCGCTCCACCAGCTCCGTCGGCCGCTTCCAGTATATCGCTTCCCCGCACCACGCTGGTGTCTTGGCCTCTGGATCCACCCACAGGGAGGAACCACCACGTGGAAAGTCTCGATCCACGTACTTTTCCCCCGTCACCATGCACCGACGAAGGATCTCGTTGCGTGCAAGAAGCGTGTCCTGAGGAGCTTCCAGGCCAGGCCGGCCCTTCGCCGGCCCCAGCATGGCTGCCTGACGTGCCTGGGTGTCTCGAGTGTGCTGCAGCAGCTGGTACTCTCGTTCCCGCAGCGCCAGCGTCCGCACCTCGTCAGCCACAAACGGGTGTGGTGAGAAGATGTGCAGCGTGAAGCTGCCCAGCTGCCCTGCGTGGCGTGTTGTGGCTAGCAGAAAAAAGTCCTCGCCGACAGCAGGCACCACAAGGCGCGCCACCGACCCACCGGAGCACTCGGATGAGTAGAGCGCGCGGTACAGCGGTGGGGCGGCGTCGACGAGGGAGATACACCCCTCCAGGTGACCCACCCTGTGGCGATGCAAAAATTCCTTCAACTCTCGCTTTTCTTGCTTTTGCTGCTGCTCCTCCTCATCCATTGCGGGGGAATCTACGGGTTGGCCGCAGGCGTCCATGCCGTCTCCGCAGCAGACGAGGCTCCTTGCGTTTGGTAAGAAGCCCTCCATAAAGAGGATCAAGCCTGGTGGGGGCTGGCCTGCATCGAAGCGAAGCGCAACGGAGGGGTTGCACTTCCATGACATGCTGTGCTCCCGGCTCCCTCCGCAGCTGTCTTCGTCCCACACCCCATTGACGGCGCGGTAGTTCCAGCCGTGAGGAAACACCGACGTGGTCAGTCGGAGGGGCACTGAGGAAAAGACGGTCACTGTGTAGGGGCCCAACTCGCCAGGTGTCTCCGTGCTCGGAACGATAAACAGGTCAAGGGCGGCGCACTTTATCCCAAAGGACGCCGCAACCGTTGTGCGGTGTGCGTGAGGACACGTACACTTGCAAACCTCGTCTGTACAGTAGACAGGCGGTTTGTTTTCTGCTGTGGCGTCCAGCGCGACAACATCAAATCCAATACGTCTATCGTCGTTTACGTCCGCCTCAACGCTCTTGCTGAGCTGCACAAACAGAGTGGCAAGCGACGCCATTCGATGGGCCTGAAGAGAGCCGTCGTATTGTACATGTATCATGGGATTGCGGCACCATAGATGCTGCGCGGGAGAGCCGCCGGCGGAGGCGGGTGTCCACTCGCCCTCCATGACGTACACAAGCCAGTCCAGCGCGGGATCTACAGGCTCTAACGTCACCCAAGCCTCGGACCTACTTGAGTACTCCTGGCAGATCTCGGCAGTCAGCGTGAATGACATGCCTCGTTCTGGATGAAAGGTAAATGGCATGATGGCGTACGCGGCGTGTTCCTCGGCCCACATCGTCACAAAGCAATGGCTGTGGTCGACGTTACTTTCTGCAGCAATATGTTCCGCATCCGCCTCAATCACTTTTCGTGTTCCATCGGAGTGGAAGACAAAAAAACCTGCCTGTCGTGCCGCCTTGGGATCATCGATATCCATGACGATGCGGACTTGGGCTCCTCGTGAGGTTCGCATGACGTACTGCTGGTTCTTCCACCAGGTGGCGTAGTGGACATGGCCGCCCGACGTGGCCTCCTCCAGCAGCCCGCGCACCTGCGCCCGAAAAAACTTTTTCGTGATTGAAGGCAGCACCTCCCGCTGCCGCGCAGCCTTGCGTTCCCTGTTCCGCTCCAGGCACTCGTCAATGGCCGACAGGGATGCGGGTGAGAAGTGATTGCCGCCAACGTGGAAGGCGGTGATGTTCTCATTCGCCCTGAGAAGCTGCAAAACGAGGTCAACACTGCCGTTGTCAAGCGCGTTGCCCGACACATCCACCTCCTCCATCGAGGGGTGCAGGGCAAGGCAGTAGACGAGGTGCTGCAGCTGCTCGTGCTCCAGCATGTTGTTCCTGACGTCCAGCCTCTTCACGGTCTTCACATTCTTGACGAGGTCCAGGACAGGGATGATGCCCTTCGCGCCCACGTAGTTCTTCGACAAGTCCACGCTTTCCAGCACCCGCTGCTGGTTGTGTCGTGCGAACTCCTCCTGCAGGTAGCTGGAGAGGGAGCTATTTGGCTTGCATCCTCTTCGGCGGCAGTAGGACGCGTAGAGGTCGTCGAGCGTCGTCATTTTCCACTGGCCAGCCAGAGCCACGCGCTCTGCTTCAAATGCCCCCTGCTGTTCCTCCTCCGGCTGCTGCTTCGGCGCGTTTGGACGGAAAGACAGGGGAACGTGGGAGAGGGAGAGAGAGACTGGGGGCGCAACACAGACACACTCGCAGCTGCAATACAAACACACGGACTCCCACACACGCACGCGCTCCACGGGGAGAAAAAAAAAAAAGCCACGTCGCGGGGACGCAACGCCCATGTGATTCCCCACTTCGTTCCCGCCGAAAGGCATCTCCTTCCTTTTCTCCCCCCCCCCACTCCCCATCGCCGAGGTCCACCGGGTGACGATAAGGAGCTCATGTTGCCCTTGAGCGGCCTCCTGCCTCGCATGCTGCACACACACACACACAGCCCCAATTTACTAACGTCTCACGCCGCCGCTTGCTTCCGTCGCCGGGCCTCCCTCCGCGCCTCAGCATGGGCGTTCCAAATTTCAGTGGCGTCGCCCCAGTTATAGATGGGGGCGTTGTCGCCAAACATCATCATTCGCCTGTAGTGGTGGAATCCGCCGAAGGAAAGGTACATCGCGCCAAGCAGCGGGTAATACCACGACACACGACGAAATGTGAGCATCGTGAGCCCAACTCCAAGACTAAGTGCGTAGCCGTAGAGGTGGCCGGCCAAGGGAACCGTCGAGGTACAGATGACACTAGCGACCGAGAAGTACGCACCTGCGATGCAGCAAAAAGGGATTGTCAGCATGGCGGGGGCACGAATGCCGTTGTACGTCATTGCCATGTACCGCGGAGACATCAGCTCCTCCGGAAAGCGCTGCGTGAGGTACATGATAAGCATGTTCACGATGCCCATGTACATGGAGGGCTGATTGAAGACGGTGGAGATGACGGAGGAGGTGTCAATGCTGGACTGAAAGACACGCACATCCTGTTTCGCAGGGGCGGCGGTGTCACGTGCCGCCATCACCGCGCTCCTTCCCACCACCTTTCTTCTATTTGCCACCTGCCCCCTGCCACCCCAACCCCCTTCTCCTTCGCTTCTTCTGCAGGCGCCTGTCAAAACCCACACTGGGCGCACTCTCTGAGGAAAACCAACACGGCAAAAGAAGAAACGGATGCAGAGATGACGCAGATGCCAGGCAGAAGACGTGTTTGCTAACAAAGGAGGAAAACAACAACAACAAACAAACGGACACACACACACACACACAAAGTTCCATCCTCTTCGCCGTAATGCGTTGGTTGCATTTACCTTGCCGTGTAGGCCGGATGCTGACAACCTCTTCAATTCACAGCTGGCAGTCAGTGGAGTGCAGTGCGACGTCGTGCAGAAACGACAGACATCGCCGACGCGCGTGCTTCACAGGTGCGCCACTTACCCGCTGCCCAGCAGCAGCAGCAGCCTCCGGCGCCGCAGGCAAATCCATGCCTCTTCTCTGAGCCTTCCCCGAAGGAAAAGCAGGTCAACAACGCCACTGAGTTTATTGCATGGAGCTGCGACCACGAGGATGATGATGATGATGATGATGATGGCGAAAAACGGCTGTTAACGCCACGCGTGGCCGCTGCCACAGCCGTGGCACATGTAATGTGAGTGAGTTCTACGCTCGCCAAGACGCCCGGGCGGTGAAGTGCCCGCCCCCAATAAGCAGAAAATCGAGACGACGTCCGTGACCAAGGCCGTATCCCACAAGGGGGTATAAAAGCTGCAACCAAGTGGCGACGCGCGTGTGGTTTTCCTCTTCCTGCCTCTTCTTGAAAACTTCGCCAACTTTTTTTTTCTTCTCTTTTGTTTCTTCCGTTTTTTTCCCCCTCACTCCTTTGGCGCGCCGCTCAAAAAACGCGGAACTCAAAGTCCAGCCTCTTTGGTGGCGCCAGTCGCGCCCCGTACTTCCTGTTCGAGGCCCTCTCCCATTCAATACTACTAGTGGCGTGCCCAATCTCGTAGTTTGTCGCCCGCAGACGCATGGGCGGCCGCCGCACATTTGAATGATCGTGGAGGCGCAGCCGGGACATGTACAGGCGCTGGTACTGCGGCTCGATGGGCCGCCAGTAATACCGCAAGTCCTTCACGTCCACCTGGCGCCCAATGCGCCGCCGCCGCATTTTGCCTCCGAGCGCGACCCAAACTCTCGAAAAAGGGGGCCCCATTTCTTTAAAGCGCATCTGCCACACCTGCATGCGGTGCTGCGCCAAGTACTCCATGGGCCGCAGCTGCACCCGCCTTGCCTTGCGGGTGATCTCCTCGCATCCCACCTTTGGGAGACAAAGCCAGGTTGGACGGAACATGGGTGCCTTGCAGGGGAAAAAGGAAGGCACTAAAAAGACGCGGGGAGGCAGTGAGAACGCACGGGGTGCTTGTCCCACAGTTACACGGCGGGGCAGGCAAAGAGCCACAATCCACGCCGTTGCCGCGCCCCGCTGCACGAAGCAAGTTCGACACACACACACACACGGAGAGCAAACTCCGAGGACGAGCCCATGGCCATCAGCCCCTTCCAACAAAACACGCCAGCGTGCAACGCGGCGTTTCAGTCGAGTGGGAGGCGTACACAGCAGAACACCCGTCATCGTTGCGCAGGCACGTACAAGAGCCGCGGTGGAGGAGGAAGGAGAGAGGGGATGCAAGGCGCAGCGTCAGCAAACATGAATCACGCTCTCCAAGATTTCTAATACGCCGGGAGGAGCAGCAGGAAAACACGGGGGGTCGATAAAACAATGCCGCCCGACAACGTCCCCTCTCACTTTTTAAACAAAAGTCAAACGTGAAATAATAATAACAATACACACACACACATGCATATATATATGTATATATATAACTTTCAGCACAAAGGCTCCCCCACGATGCCCTTCTCCGCGGAGGACGCTCTCGAGCACGTGCTCGTCTAGCAGTGGCCTTCGTAACGCGATCCTTCACTCTACGCTCATGACGCTGTCGCCATATATCGCATCGACGGTGTCAACGCCTGATGGGCGGTGTAGTAAAACTGCAGTCGCCTGCTAAGTAGCCAAGTATAGCCGATCCAGGTCCTAAAGAAGCCGACGGCAAAGCAAAACCAAACGAGAAAGAGCGATACACCCGACAGGACGCTTCTCCACCCATGAAACCACACCAAGTAGAGCTCAATCCACCCCACGGGAAGGTCATGGAAAAAGAAGCACGTACCAACGGCAACGCATGACACATTTCGCCGCGTTTGGGGGGCCATTTCACTGGCGCGAACGTACGACCAGTAAATAAGAGGTGAGGAAAACAGGAAAAATAGAACGCATCCAATGACTGAAAAGGCGACATGGGCGGCAATTAGAGCATCGCCCACTCCATTGCCAAGGTGTTGGATGTAGAAGACCCAGTTCAGAACGTTGACGCAGTACGTGATGGCAAAGAGAAACAGCACCAGGAGGTGGGGATTAGGCGCCGCGCGTTTAACGACTCGCCGCATCCTTAACGTCTAGTTGTGGGCTCTGTTCTGTGTTCCCTACACCACACACTATCCCTTGCAGGGCTGGTAAATGCAACCAAGACGAGGAAGAGGAATAGCGAAAGGGAGCAAGCAAAGGCAAGAACAACAACAACAACAACAACAACAACAGTGTGTGTGTGTGTGGGGGGGGGGGGCTACCACCGCTTATAATTTAACTCGCTGGCTTCTTCTTCGCTTGCTAGTTTTTTTGTCAACTACACACTCACATACACATTGGTAATTCACGTGCACACCGCCACAGGCCACAAGCGGCACAAACAGCGGTGACAAAGGAGGTCGCAGCCCCGTGCGGACAACGTCAGCGGGGACCCGGGGTGCTCACACCACAGTTTCTCTTCTCTTCTTCCTGTGGGCGTGTTCCCACGCGGGGGATACACACACACACACACTCTTGCTGCTCTTCCGCCACGTTAGCGGGAAGCCCCTCGCCGCATCTCCTCACCCACGCCGTGGGAGAGAGCCACGCGGAAGGCATGAGGGTCTGCGTGGGCGGGCGGGCGGGAGGCGAGCTGGCAACTTCTCCAAAGCGCGGAAAAAACGGGGGCATGTGTCACGCTGCTCCCCTAGTACTCACGCAAAAGGCCGCGGCGCGCCTGTGAAGGTTTGGCGTTCGAGTCGCGAAGCCTGAGTGAGTCACCGCAGCAACAACACCGCACAAATCACGGCCACTGCAGTGAGCGGTGCCGTGCTTGCAGGTGGTTGACGCCGTGCCCGCCAGCATCAATAATCGGGGGACTACTGCGGTGTCCCGTGCCGCGTTCACCGGGCAGATGCGCCAAGGACGCACCCACGTGAAGACGCAGTCCACTCTGGCGAACACGGCACTCCGGCGCCGTGCATTCGTGTGCCTCATGGGCCGGCTGGTCGCTCAAGGCCGCCACGTCCACACGCACAAAAACAAGGCGCAAACACCCCCCACGCAGCGCCCCGCAAGAGCCGCAGCCCTTCAAACGAAGAGTGAGGAGGGAGGGGGGGGGGGGGGGAAGAGGGCAGGCAGAGTGGCGCCAGCAAAGAAGAAGCCCGCAAGCCACACGAACCGGCGGGAGTCCACAGCGCCGCGGCGAATTCGCCTCAAAGCACCGGAAGGTGGGAAACAGCCATGCATCTCCTCCAACACGGCACCAGAAAATAAGCGGGGGAGGGAAGGAAGCACATTTGCGGATGTGCTACACAGTGGGGGTATCTGTTTCTACGACAGTCACCGAAGCAGCTTGTCGGTATTGCAGATAAACGTGGTAAGACCTGTTGTATCTCTGTCGCACCGCGGCTGAAAGGGCCACCGCCACTGTCATTCCAATGGAGTACGCGACGCTCATGGACTCCCCCGTGTAGAACCGTGAGACTACCTGATAGAAAAACAGCGCGCCGAGGTTCTCGCAAACGGAAACAGCGATACCGCTCACACCCTCATCTACCGGGTATGAAATTTCCGCGATCAGTTCATAAAACAACGGGGCGGCGGCTCCATTCCAAAACCCGCACAGTGCTGTGACCGCGCCAATCCACGCCCGCCCGGGCGGATACAGCGAGTAGCCGTCATTGTTTGGGGCGGATGCCACAAACAAGATGTTGCTCACAGAATTGCAGGTGATGCAGAGGAAAATCACATACTTCATCTGGCGAGGGAAGCAAAGGTCCGTGAGCCACGAGGAGACCAAACCACCAACGACGTACGCCACCATGCCAGCGAAGCTCATAAGTCCAATAAAGCTCTCCGAAAAAAATCTGTTGTAGGTCGCGTCAAAGAGAGATATCCACGCCGAGAAGCCTCCAGCAGACCAAGAATATATGAGTAGCAGAAAAACAACTGACGGTGTGCCAAGCAGCTGACGGAGCTGGCCGCGGAGGGATTTTTCCTCGCCGGCAACACCGTCGCTTGGGCTTGTCTCAGCGGCCCCTCCCGCCACAACGGGAGCCTTTTGCGCAGGTAAACAAAACCACACAAACACGGCCGCAATCGCGGCCATCGCAGCCTCGTAAACGGTGACGAACACAAACGATGAAGACTCTGTGATGGCTGGAACAAAGATGTAGGCAAGCGCATTTCCCACAGAGTTTGACAGTACCGCGGCAGCAGTGGCCCGCGTCCTCTCAGTTGGGCCAAACCAAACGGCGGAGAGGGCCGAGACACAGCCTGTCGCCACAGGCGACCCGACGCCACTGAAAATCTGCCCCACGTGAAGAAGCACCAAGCCCGCGTACGACTTTCGGGCGAGGGAGCCGACTATTTTAAATACCGCGCCGAGTAACTCACATGTGGCCCCAAGGCGCACCGCCTTTCGCAGTCCATCCGGCCGCGTGACCATTTTCATCACGGGGAGAAACATTAAAAGGAACATCAGCGGCTGCCAAGAAGAGAGAACTTGCAGCTGAGCCACCGTTAACCCCTTTACATTCTTCTCGAGTCGCCCCGCCACAGGATCAAACATGAGCCAAGCAAAGCCATTGTTGAGCGTGAAGAGAACAAAGATAATGAGAACTTTGTACCTCCTCGCAAGCATGGCGCCCACGTCCGCCATGAATAATACTAATAAGAACTAGGAGAAGCGAGTAATAAAAAATATAAAAACCCAAGAGGATGATTTGCACACGCGGCGGCAGGCCCATCATCACCCCGTCGATACCACTACATATATACAAAAAATGACTCGCACACACAAGAGATGGCACCTTAGAGTCCCAACGGCACCAACGCCCCCCTTCAAATGGAGGCAACCCAGAAGAGAACGAATAGGCAAACAAGAAAAAAAAATATCTTGCTGTTCTCGTTGATTTCACAGAGTAAGAGCTTTTTTGGCCCCGTGCGATACACGTTTCAGGCTTCGCAATCCACGAACCACGAGGAAAGCCAAGAAGCGTGCCAGAAGGAGGAGAACAATCACTCCAGCGACAACCATTGCGGTTCGTGCAGGGCGTTGCCTCCATGCCGGGTCCCAACCTTGCTCCAGGTCCCGGCGCAGCCGCTGCAGGTGAGCTGTGGCGTAGCTAGCCGCGGTTGCCAGCATGTCCTTTGTGTCAACCCGCTCCGCTTTGGTGGCAGGTGTCGCATGCTTAGCGGTGCTTCTTCGGTCTCTCCTCGCCTGAATCCGCTGCTTCTTTTTCTGCATCGTTGTGGCGCAGACGCTTTCAAACTGCATCAAAGACCTCAGGACGTCGTCATCGAGAAACTCACGTAGCCCACTCTCGCGCGCGTGCACCTCCATCGTTGCCTCCCCCGCCTCCGCCCTGCACTTCACCAAAAGAGTCAACATGGACACCATGAGAGACGTCACTGCGCCCTTTGCCTTGACCTGCACCGTCGCTGCCCTGCTTCCCGCAAACACCGAGATGAAAGCAAGTTTTGCGGACGATGGAGAAGAGGCATCCACTTGTGAGAAGCGTCCCGCATCGAGCATGCTGTCGACTCCGGTGCTCAACCACTCCGCGGCCTGGCTCGCGTCAAAAGGGCGAATCGCCTGTGCAAATTTCCGCAGAATTACAGCAGGCATTGGGGCCACAATGGCATCGGCCGTAAAGGATGCATGTATAATGAGAAAAAAACCGCGTAAACGGTCAGCGGAAGACTTCTGTTGGTCGTAGAGAGACGTAACCGTCCGCAGGGCTTTATATCGCTGGGTCTTAACACCCATGCTAAATAGCTGCAAACAGAGTTCCACCTCATGGCACAGAGACCCCAGTGTCGCTGAGACGCCTTCCCACGGATCCAAGCAAGAGGACGTCGGCTTGCTTGCCTCAGATATCCTCACCGGCAGGTTCGCCAAATCCTCCTCCAGACGTTCATGGGCGGCGTAGACGGCCTCCACGCGCTCTCCCTTAACGGCTAGAGTGCGTGCAACTTCAATCGCGTCGTTGGCTGGCTGCGCAACCGCATACTCTATCATTATTATTCTTATACCCCTTGCGCTTACTACTACGGGCAAAGCTGTGGAGGAAAAAACCAACTCCAACGTATATGTACAGCAAAAGAAAAACATCGTTATACCTGTTTTTTGTGCACCTCCACACATGCACACTCACACACAGAGAGAGAGAGAGACTGACACATGCGTAAGGCTTGACTGCCTGAGGCCGAAGATGAGTAAATATAAGTGGTGGCCCAAAAACCGCAAATCACACACCACAATCACCCTTTTTTCTTCCTTCTTCTTCTGTGTGTGTTTGTGGTTGTGTTTGCTCGCATGTTTATTCTTTTCTTCTTTGCTGACGCCTGAAATGTCTATTTCCATGTACGTTCGCCACATTACACGGAACAGCCACCCGTCTCAGCTTGGCTGTCCCTCTGCTCCAAAGCACCTGTACCGTTTCACAGGCATTGTAATTTCACCGTCGGGGGACGTGGGACGCAGTACCACCACGGCCCCGCTCCACGTCGAGGCAAAAATATCGCCGTTCGCACGCGCGTCAAGACATGTCACACGACCCTCGTTGAGTTTGAACATACGCCTTGGGTCGGCAATCACCACCGTTTCCGCAGAAGCAGCATCCATAGAAAAGAAAACTATGGCCTCATCGTCACCTGTGCTCATAAACTCTTGAGTCGTGGATGACTCCGGCTGGGGGCGGATTCGTATACTTCGAACCGTGCCGCTGTGGCCGTGGAACGTGCGTAGACATTTTTGCATGCGCAGGTCCCACTGCAGCACATAGGCTCCATGCCCATTGAACCCATTATGCCCCGTCAAGAGCCCAGTTCCCTCCTCGCCGGGTAGTAGCTCGCAGCAGATGGGATGATAGTCGATGCAAGTAAGTGTGGAAGCCAAACTGAGCCCCAGAGCTTTGTGACCACTGGCACTCATGCGCACATCCCACAATCGCACCGTCAGGTCTTCGCCGCCTTGCGCGACACAGCGCAGTTGGGGCACCCACCGCACAAACTGCACGATGTTTTGTTTGATGTCGCCGCGCTGCACCTCCTCAGCCTGCTCCAAGTCCCACAGACGAACCGTGTTGTCACGGCTCCCTGACACCAGAAAGTTGTTGTCCGCAACCATCGTAGCACCTGTGACATTCGCCGTGTGACCGCGTAGCTCGCAAACTGCCTCTTCGCAATGAAGTTCCCAAACTTTGACTAATTTATCTCGACTGGCTGAAGCGAAAATGCCACTGCTCAATGGCCGCGTCAACGCATTTACATCACGTCCATGGGCACCACACCATCGACGAACCGTCTCTCCAGTCTCGTAGTTTACAAGCACAAGGCTCCCATCCTCGCCGGCAAGAATGAGGTGGTGAGGCATATTGGCGTCCTCACACGACTGCAGAGCCAACGCTGCGCCGCCGCCCGCAAAAACCCCTGCGAAGGATTCATATTCCATGTGCGTTAAGGAAGGCACGGACCACGCCGAAGGTCCCGAAACCCGCGAGTCCTTGACGCCGTGACCTTCGACAGAATACGGTCCCTGCGTCTTTTCTGGGTATTCCCCAGCTAGAGGTGCCGGTGAGCCCAATTGAGAAATGGACGTCAATTTTAACATCCTCACCGCTACTTTGCTGCGTCGCTCTACATGCTCCGGAGGAACAGCATCGTCCGGGACGCTCTTTTGACAGGTAAGGTTTCCTCGAAAACACAGCAGCCCCATCACGAGGGTCCCACCTTCTCCCGTTTTTTTTTCCCCCTCCTCCCCGACCCCCTTTGTGTTCTGGTTGTAGAGAGAGTGAGGGAGAGAGTGTGAATGTGTGCATGCGTATGTGAATGCGCGCTTTCGTTCGTTAGTGTCAAGACCGAGGGGGAGGACGGAGCAAGTTCGCCGTCACAGCATTACCGCAGCATTGGTCAAATAAGGCACGCGCAGCTCAGTTGGCACAGAGTGAACGTCAGTGCCGCTTCCATGGATGGTGCTCACCACGTTTCGCCGGTTGCAGCAAACGAATTCCCCACCATCCATGGCAACAACGGCCACCGTATACGCCTGTGTAGGGGTCGTCCACGACCTACCCATGTCTCTCGACAAACTGACACCAGAGGCATTGCTTCGTGCGACCACGCATCCGCTAGATCCCGGGCGTCGGCACAGGGCAATGGAGGTAGGCTCCGCAGCTCCCGAACGTACATACGGCATGTATTCCACACTCTCCGCCAAGGAGCCAAGGCGGATAGAAGAATCGGGAGAAATGTTTAATGCCGCTGCAATAAACAACTGGGCTGTGTAGTCGTACGGCAGTATCGACGTTCCAATCCCGCCCACCAAGAGTACCCGGTAGTGCACGTTTTCCGTGCAGTAGGGAAGGGCAACTGTTACCGCCCAGCCAGTCAAATCAACCGCTCCTGGCTCACCATGGTCATTGCCGTCCTCACCTAAGGAATGGGAAATAGCACTGTAAACGTATTTTTCCGGTTTGCGGTCCTTCGCGCATTCAGTTGATGTGGACAGCATAGGAGTTACCAATGCTTTTGGAAGCTGGGGAACCTCACCACGTCGAAGCACCATATCCAGTGGTTCAAGAACACGGATGATACCAAGCTTATGCTGAAACGTGAGGAAAGAACGTCCCCCATCGGATGAATAGTGCAAAGTCCCTCTTGTGGACACAAACAGCTCGCACATGGATTGAATAGTCCGAGGAAAGGTTTTCAGGCATCCAATGGGGGCCGCGAACCTCTTAATCAGTCTGACGTCGCCGAGCGCAACGGCACCGAGCCGCGGCTGCTGACACCGATGCTGTTGGTTGTGCTGTATAAGATCAATTGAAAACAACAAATTCTTGCAAGAAAAGAGAAGCAACTGCTCTGACAAAAAAGCCACTCCTTCAACCCGCAGTGACCCGCTGCTGGGTGCGCCCGGTTCCTTCGTCATGCACGCATAGATGGCGCCCTCTTTCACGGCAACAAAGTTCATTCCCCTATCCACAGAAACCGCCAGAAATGCACGGCTGCCACACACAGCGACCATATCTTTCAGTGCTGTGACGTGTGTTATTTGCGTCTCCAGTGCCGTTGCGGAACACTGGAGGCTTGAATCTTCCTTCTGTTTCTGCTCAGCTTCAGAGGACGGTAATAGGTTTACCAGGTCTTCCATGGTGGCCGTCCCATTGGCAGGGGGAACTTCCTCCACAGGCTCCTTGCTCGTCCCCGTGACTCGGTATGCAATCCGCCACGTGCCACCTCTGTCGTGGCTACGGAGAACAGAGGCGCGACCTCCCGTGGCAAACAAGAAGCGGACCGGCTTCCCTGCCATCGAGAACTCGAGAGCAGTGGTAATGGAGGGCAACGAAAGAGCCATGCCATGTTTTCGCGCACAGCTGCGCAACGCAAAAAGGATCACCAGCGCGCGACGCCGAGTCAATGGAGAGGCACGACGAAGCGTCGCCGAGAGGGTCACAGCATCCTCCATCTTTGCCCCTCCCTCCTTTCCGGCCACCAGCACCGTCACCGGTTCCCCTCCTCCTCCTCCCCTTTCAAATGAAAAATAACGATAATAAAAGCGCAGAGAAGCAGGTGGTGCAATATATATTCGCGAAGACGTCGCTGCGTTCACGAGGGCAACAAGGCGGCAACCAAGGAAGGGGGACATGGGTACATACGATTAAGCTCTTTAACGCAGCAAAAAATAAAAAAAACTAAAGAACGAAAACACCACAACATAACACACGCACACACATAAAAAGAGCAAAGAGAGGAGGATGAGGAGACGGGTCACCCAAACAGGATTGCGGCAAGAATCACCAGGGTGACGACGAGAATCACAATCGTACATATTTTCTTTCGGTTAGACATGCTCGCCAGTAGTTTGTCTACCTTTGCGTTAACCACGCGCAGACGCGCCTGTACGCCCTCCATATTTTGCTGAGCGTCCTCCAGCAGAATTTCCTGCTGTTGGAGCTCATCATTGACGCCTACCCCCGTTTCCCTCAACTCGCGAAGACCGAAGGAGAGCCTATCTAAAATAAGATCTTGCTCCGAGTGCACCTGCCGCTGGGCCTGTTCCTGCCCCAGCACAAACGCATCGTCGACGTGGTCGTCAGCAGGACCCAAAGCACTAAACTTCTTCTCAGTTTCCACCACGCGGGCCTCCACAGAGTCGCGAAAGCTGCGAACGTCTTTTAGCTCCGTCTCAAGCTCGCGAACCACCCCCTGACGACGCAGCACCTCATTCACCGAAAAAACTTGGTCGCCAACTTTACCGTTCCGTTCCTCAATTACCCGCAACACGTTCCTGAGAAGCTCCAACTCTTCATCCGCCGCATCCAAGACGCGTCTCACCTCCTCAACGACACCGCGGTCAACGAGCCCCTTCGCCCTCACGGAATCTTTCAGAGTTTTTGCCTGCGCCACAAGCTCCCGCACGTCGCTGACGGATTCATCAAAAGGGTCCCTCGACGAGGGCATAACAATTCCTCCTAAACAACCTTTCAATCGGACAGGGAAGTAACCCAGGCTACAATTCAGTTACAACAGCAGAGTGAAAAAGGAATCATAGCATGTACCTCCGCCCGAGTACGCAGCCATGCATCACTCGAATTCTAGAGGTGGTGGTGGTGGGGGGAGTAAGAATCCAGGCGACAGTCGAGCAAAAAATAGCAGAAGTAAATAGAAAATATATATATATATATATATAATAATAATAATTTGGAATTGGGAAAGTAAAAACAATAATAAAAAATAAGGAAGGAAAAAAAAACCCAAAAAAATAAATAAAAAACAACAAACAAACTGCATTCATCACAATGTGTTAACCACGTGGCACGATACTATCTCTCCACGGGCTCAGGAGTACTGCCTCCATTATTTTTTGATCCTTCACAACTTGTAGCAGGCCGTTGTTCATGCATACGCTCTTGTGTCACTGCAGTGTCCACATCGTTGGCCTCCCTAGGCGCCCCGTTGGGGGCATCATGCACAGCATTCGTCGCAGTAGGTGGCTCCTTGGCAAGTGGAACTGAACCTTCTTCATATGCCACCAGCTTCAAAGGAATATTGTCAACGATATCACACATGCAAGAAGTCTCCTTTTTGAGAGTTTCCACAAGCCTCAATAGCTCATGAAGAAATAGCTTACCGGAAAGAGAGGTAAGCTCAGATTTTTTGCACATGATTTCATCGTACGCCTTGTTGTACTCAGTGTGCTTTGCAAGGTAGGCATCATGCGCGGCATCACGCCTGATTATTTCTTCTTTGTAGTGTTTTGAATCCTCAAGAAGTTTTCCCTTTGACGCATAGTGGACTTCTTTTTTTTCAACGACATCCCGATGATAATCATACAAATCAACAGCTTTGGCTCTTTCATTATGAAGGCGTTCACAGACGTCATAATACGTCTTCAGTGAGGACAGGGACGGCGCAACCTCGGCCTTCAATGTCTCAACGGAATCTGGAATAACAGTTACACGACAGTTTTCCAAATGACTTGTTACCTCCTTCAGGGCATCAAAAACAGGAACCTGCTTTTCATTGGAAATGACGCTTTTATAGGCATTTTCCACACCTTCCAAGGGGTCCGATAACGCTGACAAAGCTGTAACAAACTTAGACATTGCCCATTCATACTGAAGAACTGATTGATAAAGCGCCTTGACACATGTATGTCGCATTCCATGATCCTGATCAACGGTGCGCGTCGCCATCCCAAGTAGCGCTTTGGTATTCAACTTTAAACGGTCCATCGTTCGTTCAACACTTCCGACAAAGAGTTCTAAACGAGGAATAATAAAATAAATAAATAAAGGGAAAACCAATAATAATTATAACAATATGTATTCAAAGAGCTAAACACGTAGAGCTCAATACAAAAAAAAAAGAAAAACGACGCACACACACAGACACATACAGAGAGAGAGAGAGAGAGAGAGATGCGTGAAAGATTCTCCTTAACAAACAATTTTCTTCACTATATATGGTCCTGCCTCATCTAACAATATCCTTCACAAGCCTAGTCCACATTTGCCTTTCTTTTCTCTGCACCTCATGGGCAAAGTGCTCCACAAAGGATGCAAGCTCATCATCAACGTGAAAGTTTTCAAGGAAACGGGAAAGCACATCCGCGAACTCAGGTTTTACGGTATGAACAGGATAATGACCAAACCGCAAGAAGCGCGAGGCCCAGGGTCGCACACGTCTGTCAAAAAAAATGCCTGTTCCTGCCTCCAGGGGTCTAATGGGCTAACATTACTTCGCACGGCAATGAAGGACTCGGATAAAGCCCTTTGATTTAACCATGGTCCTTGGTACAGCATTTCACCAACAGAGCGTCCTTCTCGAGGCACCAAGGACTCGGTAATAGGACCATCATGAAGCCTCACCCCATCGACAAGCATCAAACCAAGCATAGAACTACAAGAAGCTTCAACTGTAATTCCCGAACCAGTCACATTCACAAACGCAGAAAATTCCACAGGTGGAATATTTCGTGAGTGATTCTGAAACCTCGTTTTGGGAAACAATTTTATCTTGGCAGTATCTTTTTTACAACCTCCTTCCAAAGATCGCAACGGACAACTACCGACTACGCAATGAACCAAAACGGACGCATCGTTAACACTATCTGCATAAAGTGTAAATTCTCTTGAACCTAACTCATAGTTGAGTTCAAATGCAGGGTGCAGTTGGAAGAATCCTTGAGTTATTCGATTCCCTACCTCTGTTCTTGAAAGGGCATTTGACTGCACGACTACTCGCAGAAAACGCGTCACCTTCATCTAAATATTGGGAGAAATTGAGAAGCAATAAACATTAAACAATAATAAAAATGTCAATAACAATAATGACAACAGGAACAAACTATAACTAGGAAAGAAAAAAAATCTCAATCATCCTAACAATATCAAAACTCACTTGAAATCAACTTTTTCTCATTATATATATATGTATATATATTTCTTTTTTTAGCTTAAAAAAAACAACAACAACTTGACTGCTTTTCCCCCCGCCATACCTAAAAAACAAAAAAAGCAAAAAAAAAGAAAATATAAATATATACACATATATTTATATTTCTATAAACAAAAAAATCGAGTAGCAGGGTTAACATCGACAATACCCTTGCGTTTTTTTTGTACCTGCTATGCACCTAGTTTCTGGTATGACCATTCCTTGTTATCCAAGGGACAGACATTTCGTGTTTTTAACCAACGAGATATGCAATGGGTGTGGAAAGCATGGTTACATGCTCCCCACGAAACGTTGCACTCTGTTGCGGAGAGACTTGGATTGGCCTGGCATTCAATACAAAGATCCATTACATGATTACGACAAATGGCACACGTTTCCACTTGAATATCCCAAGACCAAAGCGCCACGGCGTACCAGCGCTTCAGTTCAAATCGTCGCTGCTCCTCGCTGCCTTCAGGAGGAGGCACCGCCTCGCAACATCCTTCCTGCATGATAAATGTCACACTACCACGAGTATTCTTAACTACAAGGAAAAGAGAGAAACTGTAAGATGAAATACATCGCGTACACACAGACACAGACACAGACACACAGGGGAGGGGGTGGAGGTGGGAACTCGCATGAAGTTAATCGATCACTATCATGACCCTGTTGAGGATATAAAATAAAAGACATGCATGGCTACTCTCAAAATCATCTTGAAGAGAGACGAAAACTACCATTTATAAAGATTTTATCCATTTTCTTACCATTTTTTCGATTTACTATACGATTGCAGTGATAATTTAGACCATGTCCGTCCACTTCTTCAAGTCCGACCATTGCAAACAATTTTCTTATAAAACTTGTCTCAAAAAACATTTGCAGCGTACCATCTCCCTTACGGAAACTTAAACTGTTGGTTAGTTCGTTGCCCTGCCTTGTAAAGCGGAACAAATTATGATCGGGAACGGCATAGTCGCGAAAGAAGAGAACGCCTTCAGGCCTAAGAACGCTTGCAAGTTCCTTCAAAGCACACAACATGGATTCCAACGATGGTAACGAAGAAAGAACAAACACAAGCAGGATGACATCGACACCATTTTCATAAGATGAGACCCGTTTTGAGAGGACACTTTTCAACACTCCAGATTCTTTCCGAGCGCGTGTTTTTTCTGGACCTTCCGCGGACCATTCGCGTGTAGATGAAATGTCATGGGTAAAAGCTGTCAGGCGCTTGTCCTCAATAAACTCATTAGAAATGGGATGCTCCAAAAGCACGGATACCGCCCTCTCAGAAACATCAAAAGCTATGAAGTGTACATTTTTTCCAAACTGCCTCATTAACGGCAAAAGCGTACTTCCAGTTCCACAACCGCATTCAAGAATATAACGACGCTCTGTTTGAGGTACAGAAGAACATATCTTCTTTATCAATGGAAAGGCCAGACTAATGTAATTCTTTAATGGGAAGTGACATTTGTTTACCTGGTAATGTGAATCCCATGTATTACTTTTACATTCCTCAGTTGGTGAACTTGTAGCTGTGCTCCTTGTACCCAATTCCATTAACTTTTGCTCAGAGACACGGAGATAATTTTGCACTAGTCTTCGCTCTTCCTCGCTTAGCTCTTCCATTTTTTCCTCCCAAGAGAAGTCATTGGCATGCAGTTGAATCGCATCTGGATCAGTAAAGGTGCCTCCACCACGGGTTCTCGTCGCCTTACTCGTCTCTTCCATTTCTAGGGAACCACATAGCAAGGGCAAATGTGAGAAAAAAAAACGTTCGATGACAATAATAACAGCAATACGGCCAAAAAAAAAGAGGCATAAAGTAAAAAAAATGGCAGGTGGGGACAACAACAATAATAACAAAGTAAGAGGTCCTCTTGCTGGGCAAACGCACAACAGAGCAATAATAATAATAATAATAATAATAATAAAGTATTCCCAATACATCTTGTACTTCCAATTTTATTTATGTACTTCGAAGATATCTAATACTTATATAACACCCCCTATACGCATCAACACATCTCAGGCGCAACAAGGGCCGACATGAAATAGTCGCGGCTAAAGAAAAAAAAACAATAAGACCACAACGAGAACCTTGCGGCCAACAAAAAAAAACAACGACAGACACGCAGACAATAGAGTTCAACTTCACCACTAAACAGCTAAAGATAATGACAGAGGAAACGAAAACCAAGCAACATGCTAATAAAACGAAAAAAAAAGAAATAAAAACAAACCCCCGAGCCGCTCCTGCGGGGCCCGTGCCGGCGCAGACGCCCCCGACCAATACGCCGCCCAAACCGCCACACAAACTCCGCTCGACGCGCCGTGGAAGGGGGAACACGCCACATACACTTTCGGCTGCCACTTGCGAACCCGCGCAAGTCCCCGAAGAGCGCGGCGCGGGCTGGGGCCGTTATTTTTCCGCGTCAAACCGTGGCGCGCCACGTGCAAGTCTTAAACCGTTACTTTGCGGCAACACGGCCCCACCCCCAAATGCCATCTAAGATGCATGGGGAATGGCGTCTTCCCAGGAGAATTGTTTCTGGTGCTCAAATTGGGCTTTAAAAAAGAAAACCGAAATTGCTTTCTTGCCTTCTTCTGGACAGCCCTGATATTATTATTATTATTGTAACACGTGTCATATCCTCTTGTATATCTTCAATGCACGCAGTGGAAGGGATACGCAACAACAACACCAACGACAAAATAATAATGTTGAACTGCGAAGAGCGCGATGTTTTTATAGAAGCTTTGGTGCGGCGCAAGATTCTACTGAACACGCTTCAAGCTGCTGTTCAGCACGGTGGTGCATCCAAGAGAAATAGTGGCATGAAGTGCCATGCTCCTTCAATGGCAACATGGGAGAAGGAAGTAGAATGCGCACGCTGGTGTGAGACTCTTGCTTCCGATCCCGCAATGACTCCCGAGGAAAAGCATAACGTGCTTGTGGCGAAACTGAGGTCTATGGGACGTTTTGACGCGGATTCCATCACGGATTTAGAAGCCTGGTCTCCGTTCTTTGCACTGGCTGCCTCTTTGGCCATGCTTAGTTATGGGCAGTTTTCCTCGGAACACCAGGTAGCCTTGGTGGAGTTGGCCATGACGTATACCGCAAAAGGAGCTTATGCCAGAGCACGCAAAATACTAAAAACATTGCTACTGCGTGGGGAAAAGTTGGATCAGAAAACAGCGCTATTACACGGGGAATTGCAACGCTTTTTGCTTCTAGTAGAAGCTAAGCACTTCACTCACAGCGACTCGATAACTTCAACGCGACTTTTACCTCTTTGTTTTTCTGACCATCAAAAAAACTGCACCGTGCAATACATGAAATGTCTTCTGGAAGAGAGTGAACAACGTGAGCTTTCCCCTCTAGTTTTGCTTTACTGTTACCTCGGTGTAATAGGCGCAGCCCTTGTACTCTGGCTAAAGCTTAAAGACAAAGGCCAGGAACTTCGGCTCAAGGAGGATATTATTCGCAAAACATCGCAGGCGACCTCGCAGAATGAATTACAGGCATTGAAGGAAGAAGCCCACCGGAGATTTGAACAGAAGCATGCGATTAATCTCAAAAAGGAAACAACAAGGCAGTTTATAGACTCAATCCTGCATCGGTGCGAGAAATTTCTTCAAGCTAACAGGTGTGCTGATTATGCCGCGGTGTGGACCTTTTCCTTTGCAAAGCTAAGATGGGAAAGGGAGCATGGAGGGCCGTCATTACTGCGTTTTGCCGAAAGATTTATTGCGTGCTGTCGCGACGCACAATTAGATCCTCTGCTTTCTACAATTTTTCTCAATGAGGCTAATTTAGCGTTAAAAGGAAACGAAACAATTACATCCTACGCATGCGATTTGTCGGGCGTGAAGCTTCCCTTGATGCGGGATAGCTTTGCCTCATACTTGCTGCTTCCTCTACTCGGCGTCGGTGAGGAGGTTTCTCTGTCGCCCAGTTCGTAATGTCGTTTTCCGTGATGGTGAAGTATAAATAAAAGGAGTACCTACTTCTGCTTATGTATTTCTCTCTAGCTTTAGGTGCATTTGTCTCTCTCTTTCTGCATGCGTGTGTGTGTGTGTGTGCTTGTAGATTTTTATCTTTATTATTGGCCGAATATTCCATACGCGAGTTGCCCTCACCAACCTAGTTCATTTCGATGGTTTTTTTTGTTCCCTTTTGTGTAATTTTAACTGTAATATGTGCTCTTATTTGGCTTCTTTTTTCCTGAAAACAACGACGACAAAGCCAAGTGATAATGCCTATCTTATTGTACCGCTCTTGAATCTGTGATACATTAACAACAATAAGTAACAATAGACAACAAGAAGGAACTTAAATGATAAGCCGGAGTAGGCTTCTCAGTTGTGCATATGGTTTCTATGTTGCCATGCATCCGTGGCTGAAGGAATCTGGATACGTGAAGGTGGGGTGCACAGCAAATCTCTCACGCCGACTTGAAATGGCCTCTTTTACGACGTGCTTCACTCCTGAGTGGTCGTATTTTGCTGTTTTTGAGTTGGAGAGCATTAAGGAAGCCTTTCTCTTGGAGCAAGCGGTGCTTTTTCTGTTCAAGGATAGACGTGTTCCTCAGCGTGAACTGATCCAGGGCCACGCTATGGAGGTTGTTGAGGGAGCGCGGCATGTTTGCGTTGCCTTGAATCTCAACGCACTAGTTAATATGCAGCCAAACTACAACTCAACCGAGGGCACTCTTCCTGAGAGGAGCGTAAAAGAGTCTATTTCCGATGTCTACTCGAAACATGATGCTATAAGGCCAAACACACTTGGCAGGTACATGGAAGCATTAGATAAACTTCGTGCTTCCTTGCATATGTGTGCAGTATGTAATAATCTAACTGTGGAAGAGGGAGAGAACTTCGGTGACAACGAGGAGGAGATGGAGTACGACTTTGATATATTGGAGACATCATCTAAAGAGGAGTCTTTTTCTCTAACCGCACTTCGCCCATATCAGCAAGAGGCTGTGACGCGTTGCCATGAGGAACTTGAGAGTCGTGGTGTTGCTATTTGCCAAATGGCCTGTAGGTGTGGGAAGACTCCCGTAGCATTTAAACTCATAGAGCATTGTCTAGAGCAAAAACACGATGCCAAAGTACTTTACCTTGTACCGGGGCTAGCGCTACTCCGGCAAACAGTAGTAAAGTTGTACGGTTATGGGCTAAGGGAAATTAAATATCTTCTTATTGGGTCTTATACTGGCTCTGTATCGCTTGGTAACGGGCAGTCTCTGATGATGACTACCGATGCAGGGGTGGTGGAAAGCGTCTTCAAGGGGTCCTCATCAAAGATGGTTATTATTAGTACCTATCACTCATCACATATCCTGTCGAAGCTCTCGGGGTTTGACCTAACCGTGTTTGATGAATGTCATCGTGTTTGTGGAAGTGCTTCAGTAACGAACTTTAACAGTGTTCTTCTTCAACCACGTTCTGGAAAGCGACTCTTTCTCACCGCGACTCCTGCTTACGATACACCAATAAAAATGGATAATACACATCTTTTTGGTGGAATAGCATACCGGTACTATTTGCGTGAAGGAATCGATGCTGGGTACGTGAACGCGTTTTCATTACGCATTATTCTAGGAGAAAACATGGATGACATGAATCCTTACTTTTATGAGGCCATGCGAATTGTAGACAAGATGATAGTCTACTGTCGAAGTATTGAACACGCCACACAACTTACAGATCGCTTAAACTGTCCTCTTCCTGACGACGTTGTCCCGTTTAGTGTTATGCTTGCGCATTCTAGAATGGGATGCACAGCAGTTGCAAATGTTCTGCGTGATTTCACCGCCTCGAAGCGTTGTATATTGTTGAATGTTCGTTTATTTCAGGAGGGCGTGGAGATACCTGACCTTAATGCCGTCTTTTTTGCCGCACCAAGATATAGTTCCCGTGATATTGTTCAGAGCATTTGCCGTCCGCTCAATAGGATGGAAAACAAACCGAAATCGTATGTATTCTTGCCAGCCACCATTGATAAGAAGCTGCCCGAGGTACATCCTGTCAATCTTCAGAAATTTTCTACGCTGATCCCTTTTACAGACGCCTTGATGGATGAGGATCCCATTCTATTTGAATACTTGATTGACCCTCATAAGGTTTCTTACGATATTGACGTAGTGGGTCTGAGAACCCTTAAACTTTCTACTGAGCGACTGCGCAAGTTTGTTCTTCCCGCCATCCGACGGGGGGTACGATACACCAGTCAAAAAACTGATAGGCTACATAGGGCTGCACGTATACCATGGAAATCTGCTTTTGGCGAATTGAAGCGCATTGTTTTGGAGTGTAATCGATACCCCAAAACAAATGATGCCTGGGTAATTGGAAAAAAATCAGTTTCCATGGCCCTATTTTACCGATATGTACGAAAAGGATATCGCCAGTACATAAATAATGAGTCCTCCTATCTAAAGGTCTACCAGATTCGGGATTTGGAGTCACTCCCGCTGTGGCGCACGTATGGGATGCAAGGACCATATCCGTGGGAGGAGTGTCTTCGCACACTTCGCAATCACCTCAAGGAGCATGGCGATGTACCTCCACTTGATGTGCACAAGGGGGGTTACATTGGCTTAGACGCCACACCATTTGAGCGCCTCAGTGGAGTGCTGATGCACATTAATCAGTGTGATGCGCACGACAAAATGCGCCTGGATCCGGCGAAACAAAAAACGCTAGAAGATCTATGTGAACCATATGGTCTTCAATGGCGAAAGCGGCGTGATTCATCTGGAAAGGTGCTTCCTGGGGAGAAGACATTTATCACGGAGTCCTACGTGAACTTCAAGAAACTGTATGAGGCTCGTCATAGAAACCGGTTTCAGGAATTCCTGGACCAGCATTTTCCTGGCTACCCAGAGAAGCATGAGAGGATGGAGGATCCACGAAACCTGAGGAACGGTCGTGTTCCTCCTCGGCATGTATCGCGAGACGAGTGCAGCGAACCATACACTGCCGGACGAGTGATGTGTCGGGTGTGTCGAAGGCACATTGCCGTGAAGGCATGGGATAGACATCTAAAGAGCCGCTCACATCTTGCCAAGTTGGGACAGGTAACATTGTGAGATCCTGCGCATGACCAAATAACTGTGAAATACAGGTGTCGCTTTAATAACTGCTTCACAGGGATCTTTTCACGCTAATGCTAATATTGCCTCTCTCTTCAAACTGGCCCAATCCTTTTTTTTAAATATATTTTCCTTCTTGCCTTGCACTTCTATGGGTAAACAAAAATGAATAACATGTAGGGGAGTAACAAGCAAACAAGAAAAAACAAGTAAGAAAGAAATATGTCTCTCTTTGTTAGAAAAGGCGCAGCGGGTAGGGTTAATGCAGAGCGGCTTTATGCGTTCAATAAGACACTCAAAAAAGACGCTCTGCGTGAGAGAAGTTACTGGGAGGTGAGCAAAGACAGCCATCCAATTAACCGCTGGTCGTACCGTCGCTGGAAGGAGCGTAATGAGGAGTTGTCCATCTTTGAAGACAAACTGGATAAAGTGCCGGTAGATCAAAAATTCAAGGTAAAGAAGCTATTGACTGTGGCAAACATCTCTATTGCCGGCCCAATCGTGCTGTTTTTTTATTTCGTTTTCTGCTACTGGCGTCATCGTCTCTGGGGCATCACTCCCATCGATGGTGCGGGTGCGATTGCGAGGGGTGTGCAGAACCTCCCAAGGCCACCCGGCTACTAGGACCAGCTCCGTTGGTAATGCCGCTTTCCCAACTACAATTTGGTAGCTATTCACGAAATAGGCGGCGAAAGGAAATTCTATTGCTCCGACTATATGGGTCTCTGCTTTTTTGCTGCTTTGTCAGCCTCACAGAGGGACAGGCTGAGCCGTCACTTTTGTTATCGACGATGCCCGGGCTACCAAGCCTATACCTAGTGTCCACAGCACCTGCGTCGTTTGATGGGGGCGCCGCAGATTGTATAACAATGAATTCACCCGTGCCAGGCAAGTTTTTTTTTTTTTTCTCTTGGGGGTTGTGTTGTGTTCTGTTTTGCTTTTGCATTAGGCGCTTAAATCCGAGTTTTGCGTTCGAGAAGCTGGGAGGCGGCTGAGGGAATTCAAGGCTGTCCTCGTATTTGGCCACAGTCATGCTCGACTGCGTTGTGTTCGCGTTGTAGTGTACTTTTTGTTTTTCCCTGCAATCGTAACCGTTTTTTTTTTGTATGCACGTGCGTGGCTTCTTCACTTTACCAGTTCAATTGCAAAATGGCAATTTCCCCTTCCTCTGAGGATGCAGAGGATGAATCGGAGCTCTATTGCCGGATCCGTTTCCTTCCCCGAGATGCGGTCGAAGCAAATAAGTGACGATTTGAATTTTCTTGGTCTTCTTGCATTTTGGCCGGGGTGGGGCGTTTCAAGCCGAAGCAAAAGAATCAAAACTGCGAAAAATAATTTAAAACGATTAAGGGCGCTGCCTCCACCCAACGGACGAGCGACGCCGTCCACACGCGTATTGTCGCCACGGACGGCAAACGGTTCAGGGCTTGGGAGCCCGAACAGGCCGCAAGCGAGCCGAGCCAGTTGCTTGCTGAACTCTCGAGCTCGGGTGCCTCCAACCCCTCCAGGCCAAATTTGGATTGTCCGGCCGCACAGGGGAGCAAGTGCCCCGGCGTCTCCTCGCACCGAAAGTGGGGAGTATTGCATAGTTGCGGTGCAATGGGAATACGCGGCGGGAAGCGGTCTGGGTGAAGTTTTCGAGCATGCGCACGCGGGCCCAGCTGGGCGCCCACACGCGTGTTTTGGGCAGCACGGGCACTCTAAGCGACCAGGGTGGCCGCGAGAGAACTCAGTTCACCACAAGAGCCTTCAGGGCGTGTTGGCTGCGGCAGTGGGCCTTTGCG